CACCATCGGGTAACACCGGATAACAAAGATCGAAAAATAAAACAGCAAAAATGGAATAATTAGCGTAATTGGGACTCAAAAAAAAAAAAAAAAATAGGGATTTTGAAAAATTTGGGTCGGCAGGTAATGCAAAACGAAAAATCAACTTTGCGTGGCTTTATATTTTTTTCTCGATATTTTTATGTTCACGGGGCTCTTTGGGGGTTTTTTTTAAAAAACACTATCTAATACTTTTAGTCAATGTTATTTTTGGACAGTTTTAGATATGAGTTTGAACATTTTGGTCATTTTTAACAAAAAAAAATAAATAAATTGTATTTACTCTAAATTTTATTAAAATAACCTATTTAAACATTCAAAGTAAAAAATATTTAAAATTAAACAGAGAATATAATTATTTTAATTGCTAAAATGTTTGGGGCTTTGGACATGCTTAGACACTTGGACACGGCCAAAAAGGCTTTGGACGTCCAAAATATACAGCACTGCCTTTAGTTAAAAGTTTGACGCGAGTATATTGCAGCATAGAACATCCTAAAAAAAACTTTTATGTGAAGGCAAATGTACCAGTGTTATAAGCGGTGAAAGAGCGAGTTTAATTAAATTAGAATAAGTCTAAATTTATATCATTCTGCCGGTCAATTGATTTTTTTGGACCTTTAAATAAATTATTGTTATTCGAAAGTTTTACTATTTGTTAGTGATGAAAAAGTAACAAATGAAACGCGTCATAATCAATAAAAGAGTTTTTCTAGTACATGTACAAGGTAAAAGATATAAAAAATAAATAAAATAGCTATAATAAGCTGTAGAAGAACACTGTCACTAGTTGAGACGACGTTCTGGTATTTAAGGATCGTAGGTCGTTGAAAACGATCGGTTGAGTAATGTGCAAGGATGGATGGATTCTTAACCGATAATATATATTATTCAAATACCTTTATAATTACTAAGTTAACGTGAATAAAATGAATTTATGTATTAATAAATTCATGAATAACTTATTTTAATTATAAATATTTATATAGATAGAGAATTACCTATCTCGGCTGACTTCTGATAACGATAATGTATAATGTATAAATATAAATGCTTTATACTTATCCTTTTCAACACCGATTTTTCATAATAACAATGGCCAACTTGATATATTAAAATTAGTTAATATTCCGCCGAATTTGCAGATTTTTTAATAGAAAGCATAGGCACTTTGATATATATTTGGTGAATTAATGTTTTTTTTGCTAGTCACTTGATATAAACTTAATTTAAGTGTAAATGATATTATAAATGTAACTTTTGCAGGTGCTTATTAAAAATCCATTAAATTCGCTTTTATTATTAAGTAAAAACCCGGGATTATAATATGCCATTTGGATAACTCTTACAATAAGATAACTTACCTGTAAATGTGATCTGAGGGGACATATTTTATAGTAGGTCCAGCATAGTCTGCATTTGCAAGAATTATTCTTACATTCATTCACCCTTGCCATTGTATTTTATACCAATTATTGCAGAGATAGATTCATTCTTGCAGCTTTTCACATTCTAATAGTTTTTAAGCTCTTCATGTTCAGCCCCAGTAGTTTTTGCATTGTAAACGATATGAATTTCTTTATTTGCAAAGTAAAGTACTATTATGAAATTTAATGGATTTTTTACTTATTTACTTATTTATTAAACCCTTTGAAAATATTAGAATACATCAAAATTGAACGGAGATTGCACGAATTATTAGTGAAGTATTCAGTTTCTTTAATCAAAAATGTGTAAATGTAAGTGTCACATTAAATTTGTTTCTTTTTTATTTAAACTCATTTCTATTTACTTAATACATGTTGTCCTGTTGGAGGAGAAATATACATACAGTTTCCAAAGCTAGAAACTAGGGTTGAGCTCAAATAGTTTGAAGAAAAAAAGGATTTGATGGTTCTTGTAAATTCGGATGTGTTTAAATAATTTTAGAGATTGTGAAAGATATAATTTAATTTGGAATAGGCAATTTTGGTTAATAATGAATTGTATTAGTGAAAGGTTAAAGTTATGATCGATTACCTTAAAATAATACGTGACTTTTCACAACTTATAACTTTAATAACCTGAATTGAGATTTAATTCGCGAGGAAAATTGACTTGTAACTTCAATACATCTTATTAAACCTCAGATTCTTGAGTAAAGAAGACTATTATAGAATTGATATTAAGACTTGTTATTTGGATATCCGTATCGGTATTGTCAGTCGAGAATAAATCAGATAGGCATTTATTTAACGAAGTGAAACTTAATACTATTTTTGTTTCATTGAATTCAAAGTTCTAATATATATTTTTAATTTTTTTTGACTGAATAATTCTTTTGCCGGGAAATCAATAGTTAAGCTCTAACGTTAGAAACTGCTAATGCTAACCCGGTTAATTATGTGAAGCTCTTCGTCGTGAGCGCAGGTGGTTTATTGTATGTCGATGAACCAATGCCCTTAAATCTTATTTTCCTACAACACTATAGGAAGTAATCCTGCAACCGATTTCGGTGATAAAGAGAGCCTATCATGTCGGTTCAGACACCAATAATTTGCAATGTACAGAATGCATTCCCAAGCAATGCTGCTACTTCGACAGCGTAGACAACGTCTAATATGAAGTAATAGACTTTAGTATTGAACAATGCCAAGATTCATAATTACCTGCTTTAAACTATTAGTCAAAATATTTAGAATTGATTTTATATTTTTTCGGATATATTTATAAATAAGATCAGAATGCAAACGGCCAAAAAATCGCGAATATTAAATGCAACACTGCCTCTAGTGATTACAATTCTCACTGACTGATACATGAAAAAAAAAACTTTAAATCGACATTTTACTATATATACTTTATTAATTAGACATTCATATTTATTTCTATAATGAGAAGTATTTCCTCTGAAATCTCTGAAGTCTCTGAAGTTACTGAAGTTACTGAAGTAACCGAAGACACTGAAGTTACTAAAAACTCTGATTTGACTTTAAAAGACAATGATCCAAAAAATTTCCATTCACGAAAGAAATGGTTGATTTTATTTGTTGTAACCATCACAGGAATGCTAGCACCTATAACAAGCACGTAAGTGACCTATAAAATTTTATTATGATATTTAAATATTGCGATTTTTAAATTACTGATATTAAATACTTAATTACTTAAACTTATCATTAAACTTATCAGTTATAATTATAGTCATTACAGTATTACCGCTGCAGTCATTATCGTTATAGCTAATTTCGAATGATCCAATGGATATCCGTAAAAAATAGGTTGTTGCCTAATTCCCCCGAAAGTTATTTCCCCTACCCGACATCACATAGAGTTAGGTTTAGCATTTGATTAGTTGCAGGTATATATTTTTAGCAAATTGTCACCCTGTGTGATGTCAGGTAAGTGACATGTAGGAGAAATAACTTTCGGGGAATCGTACCGTAACCGTAAAAAATATTCATAATAATAAAGATAAAATATCATTGGATGATCCAATAGATTTTTCAACAGATCAAAGCACTAACTCTTGACATTAAACTAGGAAACTGTTATAAGTCCGGAGAAAGAAATTATGTTTTACAAATCACTGAATTTATTGTTATACAAGTACTGTATGCAATTGGCACAGCCTAAAAAAAGTACACGATAATGTAGTAGTATCAAAAACAGAAATTTCATATCACTTTGTAGCCTAAAGTCCCAGCGTTACCAACCTAAAAAATTTCACTAAAAAATTTAGCTGTCAAGTTAGTATTGGGTGTTTGCCATTGTTTTAGGGTGTGAAGAGTGCAATAATACCAAAATCTTGTGAGGAAACCTTTTATTAATGTGCTGAAGGCAGTTTCATAAAAATAAAAAATAATTTTTGATGATAACGCTTGGACAGTAATAATTTTATTAATAGAACATAAAAGACTTCTTACTAATTATGATGAACTTTGTATTTTTCAAATTCAACCGGTTATATTAAAGTATTAAAAGTTATCGATAATAGCTGTTCCCTTTACGGCAATTCCTCCATGTATATTTTCAGCCCAAACATCAATAAATTTATCATTAGTATCACTCTTTTTCCCACATATTTTAAACTCTTCACCAACATATAAAGGACTCATTGCTCTGTAAGAGAATGTTTTGATGTATGAAGTATTTGGCAAATTATCGCGAATTAGATCTAGAAGAAGGGTACAAGTGAGTGGTCCGTGGACCAAACAACCTGTTATAAATTGAATTAGATCAGAAATATATAAAATACGAGAATATCTGAAATTTATAATATTTTACCAGGATACCCTTCAGTTTTGGTCGAATAAATATGATCATAATGTATGCGGTGACTATTGAAAGTTAAAGCTGAATATCGAAATAATAAAATTGAAGTAGGAAATATGACTTTCTCAAATTCAGATGATATATTTTCTACAAAAAACATAAGAATTATATTAAAAATCTACTTAAATTTATTAAAAAATTAATAAAATATCATACCTTTGATAATTTTTCTCGGAGGTTTGGGCTTATTCTCTTCACTAGCTGGCATATAAACTATACATCTTGAATCTATTAAACTACATCCGTTTTCATTGACAATTTCTTTATCAAGCCAGACAAAAACATTTTTTCCTAATTTACCCATTTTATATTCTACATCACGAACTTTAGTAGTCATTTTAACCTTTTGTCCAATTTTTAAAGGATTTTCTTGATTAAATTTTAATTCACCACCTGCCCACATACGTCTTAAAAATGGTGCAGGAGGTGAAAATTTGGTTTTATATCCGTCAGATGATAGTTCATTTTCATAATCTCTTGGCAAAAAATATGCTAAATGATAATTTGGAGGTAATGGAGTTTCGTCTGGTGGAGTTTGAATTGATGGGATATTGTTAATTATTTCCTTACGGTTTAGGGTAATTGAAAGAAGTTGAAGAGGTGTTGCAGTTAAAGTATCTTCTTTAATATCAACTATTTTAGCTACTTTAGTTTTCCAAGATAAAATAAGAGATTCGAATTGATTGTTTGGCCGAAAGGATGCAAAAAATGCACGAGATAATTTTGGACAATAGTTAAAAACAGTAGTAGTTGAATAATTTAAGAGATTCATAATAATTGGAATAAACGCAACAATAGATTTTATAGTCCAGCAATCTTAACAATTGTCATGATTAAGGAAACTGCAAACGGTAATTTCAGGCAAGTATATAAATAGCATGGGTTAAATGCATTGAGCTATTTCTAATATGCAACAATCTGCAGAATAGTTCTGAGCTAATCCGCTCCGTCATTTTGTACTATTTTAGAAAAACGATATAATTTGAATAGGAAATAGGGTGATAAGTAATCAGATATGTTAATCATTTATGAAAACATGAAAAGTCTGCAATATATTAAACGCTATCGCTACAGTATAATTTGCTGATATAGTTTTGATTACTTGGTTGATTTATATTGATTTATCACCTAATGTAGAGCTTGGATTAGAGATGTACCTCGCGCGAGGTCAAGCTAGTGTGAAACGTGAAAATTACTCCGGAAGGCACGTGAGGGTCGGAGGTCAGGGTGCTGCAATATCTGCATGCGGGT